GATACCAATGCTTTGGGTTGGTGGCCTGAAGCTTTGGGACCCAAATTTGATTGACAACAATCAAATATCTCTCTGGTCTCTGATTTCTTCACAGATTATCTGTCTCATGTACTGCAGTCAGGATATAGTGAACATTTCAGTAAATAACTTTAATAAAAGTTCTCTACTGCAGCTTTAATACTTTTGCAATGCAAACAAATATCAGTGTCCTTTCAATGTTAAAAGTCTTATGTTGATTGTAAAGCTGTTTGGTGCCCTTTGTTCTACTGGTCCATAAATTCCTAAGAATTTCCTTGGATGTTTTCTGGAAAGAACTCTAATTTGGTGCAGACATGAAGGTCTGAGGATGACAATGTGAAAGTCAAAAGTCATAAAACTCATTAATTAAAATTATATGCTAAACTAGCCTAACCTCAAGAATCCCTTAAACTCAATACAAGTAACTAAATAAAAGTACTTCTTCTAGTTTCCCTATAATAGATATGTGATTAAAAAAGTTCTTTCCAAGAAATTATCTGGAAATTATCAGGAATCACTGGACCCATAAAATAAAGTATTACCCACGATGGATTTCCTTAGTGCTGGAAAAATATTCCATATACCAAAGCAAGGGTAAATTAAAAGACTTTAATGAGGCAGTGCAACAAATGGCCAAGCAATTTTTACAACTTTTCCATCCAAATGAAGTCTAAACAGGACCCTAAAGTGACCACAGCAGTACAATGAGTCATTATTATAGCAACTAAACATCCTTATGGTACGATACAACGATACAAATACGATACAAATGCAACTGAACAGAACGTCCGACTGCAGTTCATAAAAGACAACTGTCAGACTGCAGTAATGAGTGACACTAACATTTTCCAAACATCCTCTGCTGATGACTAAATGTTCTGGGTGGGCCAAACTGTCAGTGCTAATGACTGCAAGAAACTGTTGTTTACACTTCAAGTTCAAGTATGGACTTTATAGTTGCAATTGGAGAGCTTACATGAGGAGATGATAGCTGCATGCAGAAGTCCATAGAGGAACCTCATTATTTTCTTACTTTCTTTTTTGGCTTCGGATCTATTGGAAAGGATTCATTTAAGAGGATATTAAGCGCAATTACGCTTGTAGACTTGTTGACAGGCTGGTTTGAAGGGCAGGAAGTGTTGACTTTCATGGTTTTCCGCAATTCAAACCCAATATAAATGCTGTATTATAAAGTGATGGAATAATAGGGAAATACCTGATATCGATATCTTGACTTTGAGTAAATATTTTGTTATATCTGACCAACAAATATGGATGACTTTTGATAAATGATGAAATAAAAAGGGCTCTTGGTTCTGGCTCATTGCTTTAGACCCCACTGCACATACACTGTTTCATTAAAGGGCAAGTCCTCCCAAATCACAAAAACAGGTTTTCTCACTGCTTGAGGTTCTTTTTCTGTCCTTAGTCCAGGTTTTTAAATACTTACCACTTTCACTTGTGGTTTCTAAGATCATCAATGTTTCCAGTACCAATGTTCAGATTTTTCTGGATAATCCACAGACCTCACTGTCAAAAGATTCCAGGGGACTATTTTTTAGGTAATAATTTGTGAAATGTCCATTAAGAGGTCTGTAGAGTATCCAGAGTAATCTGGACATTGTTTCTGGAAGGACATTTTGCTGCATGAGTTCTTCAAATGCGATGGTTTTTATTATTGAAGCACAACAAGTGAATTTCTGTTCATCTCCATTGTATTTGGGTGGTGGCAGGCGTTCTCAGAACTCAGCTGAATTAAACCCAGACTATGTTCATGGCTGGAGACACCATGGGAAAGCTTCTTATCTTTTTGTAATTTGGTTGAACTGACAGTTAAAGTGATTATAATATCATCCTGGCAGCTTCTTCGTGCAATGACTTATTTTAGCCATCATAAAAACAAAGCCATTACCAGTCGCTGAATAAAAAATATATAATTTGAACACAAACAGGACTCCTCACTTTAACAGTGATTCTGTTGCCATAAATTCCACCCTGCATGATTGCTAAACTTTGGCTGACGTGTACGGGGAGCAGAGCTTCAGTGGCCACTGGCATTAGCTTGGTTTTTATTATTTATCCTCAAACCAACATTGTCCACATGCAGACAACTTCAATTTTAATGGGAGAAAGTGTCAACCAGCGGGTAAATATTACTAAATTCTTTTTTAATCTACCAGCACTTGTTTGTCAAGAACATTTGTCTAGGCATTTCTAAGCAAAGTTGAGATATTTCCAATATAAATTCAAAATATGTGTCATTGTGCTTCCAAGCTTTCTTTATTATGATAATATACATTATAATAGAATGCAAATTTTATGTTAAAAGAAAATCTAAAATCTTTGAGCGAAATGCCAAAATGCACCTTGATCTATTCTATTGTATTCTCACGGAGGTGAAAATGGGGAGGTTGGGAGTATGTTTTGGTTTGTATGTACAGTCCCGGTGACCGTTCCAGGACCCCGTGAAGGCATGAACAAAAGCAACCACATGGACACATTATAACACTATAGAATAAGGCACATAGATAGATCATCAATATTTACATAGGATATGGCTCCACACACATGCACACGGCCACTTTAAACAAACATCACAGTATTAAAAAAAAAACACCAAAACATAACAGCCTACTATTTTTTCTACCAGGACTTTTTTTCCTCCTCTTCTCTACCTTCCTACCTTGTGTTTATCCTTTCCTCCCTCCTCTGCTCCCTTTCATTTCCTCTTAGTCCCACAGTCTGGCAGCCAGGTCAGCCGATTCTGTAATTTGATATGATACAGTAGAATCGCATCAATGTTCTCTGACCACTCCGTAGCTCTCAGACACCCCTAACTGTCCAGGAGACCCTGGGATTTTAAACCACAATGCAGGTCTATGTCCACGATTATCCTAACATGGTCTCTGGGTTTTTAGCAGTTTGTTGCAGCAAGTTCACAGGCTTCCTTTTGAACATTTTTCATGACAAGGCAGGTTTTTCTTGATTAGCAGGCTACTTTCATACAAAGCAAAGACAGTGCATTAAGATGGTGGCTCTGGTTTAAATCTTGTAGCTTTTCATGCATTTTTGCTGCATTCTTTATATGTTGCAATGGTATTCTGGAAAACCGCTAATTAGTATTCTGTGACACAGACCAACCAGCTGTTGATGAATTCTGATGACTAGATACTGACAGAAATGTTGAATTTTAGCTAATCAGTCCAATGAAAATTACAATTAAAATCGCGGCTCGTACAACAGCTATGTCTGCCAACAATGTACATGATGAAACACAATGAAATACATTAAAATTCAAAAAGGGATTCTGATTCAAAGCTCCAAGGCTAAGGGAGGATGGCAGTAAGGATCCAGGCTTTTTAGATGAAAAGAGAGTTCTAGAACACATTCTCCTGTGTCAGGCCAAAAAGGTAACGGAATGTTGGTCAGGGAGTTTCAGAAGCTTGGAATGTTCTAAAATGTTGGAGGGGCTTCTGCAGTTGCCCTTGGAGCAATTCCAGAACACGGAGCATTCTAAAATGCTGAGGCCGTCAAAATATCTAGAAAGTTGGGAACAACATGCAGAATGTCAGACTGGTTTTGGTAATGGCCCTTGGAATTCTATAACCCTCCTTTGTGGCAGAGGGTTCTAGAATGTTATGGGTCGTAGTTCTGGAACAAAAGAGAAGCCTTAAATAACACAGTGGGCAGTTCTAGAACAGCGAGGCCGGTTCTAATGCTGCCCTTCATATTGGAACCTTAAACGGAAGCCTCCTCTGTCACTGAAGTTGCCAGGAGGAAGATGTCACAACATTTTGTAGTTTGGTAGTTCCACAACACAGGGGATGCTCCAGAAGTTCTACCCCAGAACATTGAGTTTTAGAACCTGGTGCTGTGGGCGAAGCTGTCGGACATGATGATGTTCTTGTAGAAGTTGTCGGTGCGTGTGGAGCAGTAATCTTTCACCTTATCGATCATCTGGCTGACGGGGAGGATGGAGGAGGAGGAAGAGGAGTTGGGCTCCACCTCTGAGGAAGAAGGGGATGAGGAGACGCACTTGGGACTGGTCTGGTTGGAGTAACATTTATCTGCATCCAGGGAACAAAATAAAAGACAGGGACACCAGGATTATGACTTGATTATGCAATAATCATTGAATTGTTAGAAATTTTGAGAATTTTTTAATTTCATTTCGGCTGTCCCTCATAGTGTCATATTGCCATCAAACAGAATTGTTGTACCGTTCCAGCATACAGCTTTTAATTCAGGTGGTATATTTCAAGACCCATTCTACAAATTAAACATATAGGAGAGGAGTGGATCATTATTGTAACGAAAGAAAAAAAAATATGACAATGTTTATTTACATAGTTACACATGCAGAGAATAGTTTCAGTTTACCTTCCAAGAGTGTATGGCAAGAAAATGTATTATTCTACACTCATCATATGTGTATGTGCAATAATGTCTGGCACCACCCTTTCTAAACAATCCAATGTATAACATTCACGATGGCCATGAGCCAAAAGTAATCATCTCTGTTATTTGTGAAAACACAAAAAGGGTTAATTCAATTTGTCTTAAATACCTTTGCTCATGTGCAGAGTATGCAAGAAATCCACTCAAACAGACCTTCATTTTCACTTTAACCCCTCACAGCAAAAAAGATGAGTGGTGAGGACCCTCCTATTCTGAGCACAATATCAGGAGGAGGAAGAATGGCTAGGGAACTCGAAGCCAATGGGTACACATCCCACCATGATTCAGTCCACGAATAGACATTTCTACCTCAACAGGTACCCCCAGAAACATCCTAGCTACCCTTGTGGAACATAACATAACTATCCAGTCTTCACGTCACCAACCATTTAACACCGTTAGATCTCTGCTGCGTACAACGGCAGTGAAACAGCAAGGGCCCTAAACAAAATACTGAATAAACATTCAAAACACCAGACCAAAACTGGTCATGGCTTTGATCGGGAAGAGGTCAAAGGAAAAAAGCCATGATCTGAGGCCAAAGACCATTTTGAACAGAAACACCATGTCACCAAAAGCCCATACTTCGGTTTCATGAAGGCGAGTGAGCCAGCTACCTCCTGTTACTCTCCCAATGTCGGTTGCCATGCATTCTCCATGGGAAAAAACAGGCTAAATGGGTGCAAAGTTGTTTTGCTGACCATCTGTACCAGGTCTCTGATTTGCTTATTCATATCTAGTCACAGTGCAGTGTTAACCTCTGACTTCAAGCTTGCCAGGAAATCTGGTTGTTGTCTGGTGTTTTTCTGTGTTTTCTCTTCCAAATGGGGTTGGTTGGTTTGGCGTTCTTTGCTCTCAGGGCTTTGCAATTATAAAAAGGGTTCAGAGCCAAAGGATAATACAACAGGGCCAACTGAAGCCACGCTACGCCATGTCAAGGCTTTTCAGCAACAGTGTTATTTATAAAGCCATACTCAGATTTCATTTTCCATTTGATCCCAACATCACAAAATGTGTGCATACCTGATGTGGACAGACAACTACGAGTGGCGGTATGTTTATATATCATTATGCTGCAATGTTATTTGGACCTTGAAAACTAAGCTTTTCATGTCATGAGTGTAGCTGGAGATGTGTTTTGGTTACACTTCAGAGAACTGGATGGGAAGCATAAGGAAAGATGGGTGGTACACGATTAACATGCAGCGTCTGAGGTACGAAGTGTCATGGGCAGCTACATTGTTCTGTTGAGGCCGCCAATGCAAATATCAAGCTGAACAGATCTGTTTTGAAACAGATTCTTTAACTCTAAAATATAATTGACTTGCTCTGTCTGAAGAGTATTCTACGTCCCACATTTAGCCAGTAGCTTACAACAGAGCCGCTTCAGAAAAAGCATCTTTTAATTTGTTTTTGTCCAAATTAACTTAAAATTTCAACAACTCTTCAATTAATATCATTAATTATGTTTTTGCCACTGTCCCTTTAAAATAGCATGGCACAAAAACACAATTAATACATACTATATTTAGGGGTGTGAACCGACATTTGAAAAACCGGGGGCTGAGCCCTAAACAAAGGAAGTGTAATGTGTGCACATTTTCTGAAATTACATAATTATTTAGCCAATGGCATACTGAAGTCTTTCACCTGGATTAAATCAAACCCAGTGTAAAAGCCTAAAAAAAAAAAATAGTTAAAGATAAAAACGGCTTATTCTAATATAACAAAGAAATAACACTAATGAAAACATAGCTATGAATACTGAAAAACTAAACTTCCTGGATTGTATCTGATCTTCTTACTGAGAAGATGGATGCACCCTTGGGATTTCCATCAGGCTTTACAAAGAAGCATGGTAGAACAGCACAGTTCTGACCAATGGAAGAAGATGAGACAAGTGGGCTAACATTTGCAAACAGTAACATGCAGAATTACTGCTTCAAACGTAAGGACATCTGGAAACTTAATCCATTTATGGAAGGTGTCTTCATTGGACCTTTTGGGGTTTCCTTTTGACTGCTCTTTAACTACTTCTTGAGAATGTCATGCTAAATTCAGTTTATTTGTTGTGGCTTGGACCAACACTAGCAGCCTTCAGAGTCTGACATCTTGAAACGTAAACTGAGCCAAAGCATTCAAGCAAAACATACAGAATTTGGGCCAAATCAAGCACATACTGTCTGTATGCTGGTCGTCTGGTACCATCAGAACCTTCAGTGTGACTTGCCTCTGAATCATGTTGTTCAGCCAAAGTCTTCCTTGGAATAAAAAAGGAGCTCAATCACTGCTCTTTGTCATTCCTGCAACTAATTAACTGAAAAAAAAAGGACTGAAGTTGTCATATCGTCTTGCTCAACATACAGCCGTGTTTTCCAACCTCTCCTCCCATGTGAGTGAGTGTCCCTAAGCAACGAGAAGCTACAGGGTCAAGAGGAAGTTGTCCGTTGGCGTGGCCCGCAGTCACGACTTCCCTAATTCCTGCATCCCTGATTATGCCCCTGGTCCCGTCCAGTAATTCTGACTTTTGAAATGCCCTCTGATGTCACACTGGGATGTTTCTTGTTGTTCCTGTATCCTCTCTGAAACACAGGCATTGTTTTGTTTTTGTTCATGTTCCCCTCAAATACACTCCAGACTGCACTTTACTACAGAGATGGAAACTGAGGAGGGGGTTAGGATTGAATGAGTTTCAGAGTAAAGACCTCTGTAAACATCAAGTCAACCTCTGGCCAACAAAACTGCATGTTTTGGGATGAAGGGATTCTCTGACCTCAAACATCTGGAAACTATTCAATCAGAGACTGACAAAATGTTGTTGACCTCCGACAGAGGAGAGATAGGGGAGGAAGAATCCTGCATTCAGTAAATGCCTGTCTGTTTCCATTGGAAGCAATGAGCTGGTTAATATGGAAGCCCATAAAAATAAGTTTCTCATTATTTTGAGATACTAAGTCATTATTTTGAGATGTGACTGTGGGTAACACTGAAGGAATCCTAACTGGGAGACGCTGACTGCAATGACGGCAATGGTGGTGAAGACAACAACTCCTGTGAATCTTATGAACATACTGACAGTTTCCATCTCTAACAGAAGAAATTATGCAAAGCTTTTCTTTAACATACTAAACATTACGTTAGCCATTACGACCTTAAAGCTGTACCAATTCATATTCTTGTATTAACAATGGATCAAATGAATAGGTGTCATGTGAAAGGGGTCACCCTATTGCTTCTTTAAGCTCCTGGTTTTGACTGTGTGAACCAGAACTTTGCTGTTTTGCTTCATTCAAACAGATGATGAATTACACTGATAAATGTTACCAACTAGACAACATCTGTTTTGGCTGCTGGTTAGCAGCAAAGCTAATGAAAGATAATTAACAGTGATCTGCTGGGAGCTTAAATATAATTTCCCCCAGTTGACACTGTTTTCTGAGTTACACTGGGTGTAGCAAGAAGTGTCATGGAGGCCAGGTGGCAATATCAGAACAGAAATGGCTTCTCGCCTAGACTGAAGGTCTCATGGCTTATTTCATTAGGATACAAAGTTGGGATCAAAAAAACACCAAACAACAACCAGATTTCCTGGCAAGAAATCCAATAATTCTGCATGAAGTCAGAGGTAAACAGTACACCCTTCTTAGATATAAAATGGAAATAGAGATCAGAAGAAGTTGGTCTGCCCTGGTACAGATGTTCAACAAAACACACACATGGAAAATCTGTGACAGGTTGTCAGAAAAATCGACCAACACAAGGAAGCAGTTGTGAGAATGGGTTTAGACACTCTCAAACCACATTCCCTTGAACAAAAGATGCACATTTCTATTTGAATTTCAGTATCACTTAAACAGCATATAAAACCTTTAAGCTATACTATGCATTTACTTTAAGGGTGAATGTTTGTACTAACTTGTAAAACATCTCCTGTCACACTTTGCTGACTCAGCTCATTAAACATGATAAACTGTTCAAAGTAAGAAAAGTTGGACATTCAAATCTGGATCAATTTCCCAAAGTTAGGACATGATTTGTTTTGTTTTTTACAAGGTTACATTGAGCCAAATGCTGACATAAAACTCCTTAATATCAATGTCTTAACCTTGTCTGGCAGCAGTGGGTAACCGTTACTGCAGTAACAAGATTTATATGTTAGTAGTTTTAAACAATAACAAGCCAAGAAAAGCCTTTTTTACTCAGGACATCCAAAGTCAAGAGACTGCATCAAAAAAGACAAGAGAACATAAGAAAAAATGTTTCATAGCTATAATGTTTGTTGTTTTGAAATTATCTTTGTTTCCAGTTTATTAGCATACCTATATATCACAGAACATAATTCATAACTTATTCCAGTCCAGTGCAACACTAAAATATTGTAGTTTTGTTCAGGACATTAACTTATTGACTGCTTTGGCTCCAAAGAAGACGTTCTCATCGACATTTTTAACTGTTACTTGCCTTGTGCCTTGAAAGGACCAGTGTGTAGGATTTAGTGGCATCTACTAATGAAAGTTGCCAATTGTAACCATTTGAATACCATTTAACTTCCAATGACAAACAGTGGCTGTTTGTCATTCTAGGCCAAGGGGTCTTATCATCAGCATTT